ATAAGTGTCAATATTTTCTGTAAAATATGGCATGTAGGCTGTCCAGGCCCGGTGTCTTGAGATCTCCAATACTATAAATTACCCTTTTCACATCCTCCAGAACAAGCAACACTAATAAAATATCATTCATTTGAGAGGTGACTTTTTACTGAAATGATGTTCGTTATCTACTAGTAATTCTGGTGCATGCGCCGCTAGGCGACCCATGGTGAACAAGTGTCGCATCTAAGTGTGCACTATCTATTCGTCCATTACGGTAAACTCAACAAATCCTAGAGGAGGCAATTCGAGCCAACCTCGCGGCACGTGGCCGAGATCACCAAAAGCTTGCTGTGTGAAATTAATTGTTGATGGGTTTTGCAATGAGATTGGAGGTTTATGCTCGTTAGGGCGTGTGCTTAGAGACGTTCGGGGCACCTTTATAGCAGGTCCTGTGAATTTACGCCCCCATGCAGTTAGTGTTATTTTTTAGAGGCATTATCCATCAAGCATGGGTGGTCATGAATCTTCGTAAACGTTGTTGGCTCTAATACTCCAATACAAACAAAGTTGGACATGGAGGTGATTGACGCATGTTCTAAATGCGATCAAAGGTGGGATGAAATTGTTGTTGTCTATGTCGTGTGCATGGAGACGCTTGATATCATCAGGAAGATCTGGTTTAGGCATTGCCTAACGGAGAGAAATTTTATGGCTTATGAAATAGATAACTCATGCTATCTTAATAAAGTTGCATGTAATTGAGTCGATGAAACTTTTGCGTTCTCTTGAAATCTCTCATAGATGATGTAATTGTTATTTGCAGCTAAAATAGGGCTAGTCATGATCGTGGGACCTACTCTCCGGCGCCCTCTACGCCCGTTATCGTTACTGGCGCCCACACACCACGCGTAGCGGGATGGCCCAACAAACGTGACGAGGAGAAAAAAGTTTATCTGCTTGTACTGCTGAAAATGACACAAAATTCTTTGTGGAAGAAGCAGGATTCGATCTCTCTGGCAACATGTGTAGACGGCTCTACTAAGGGGGTGTTTGGTTCAGAAGTCCTAAGACTTTTTGTAGTCCCAGGGACTAATCAAAAAAGACTCTTCAGTAGAGTCTTTTTTTAGTCCTTATAAAAAAAGTCCCTCCCGTTTGGTTCCTAGGGGCTTTTTCTAGTCTCTGGGACTAAAAAGTCTCTGAACCAAACACCCCCTAAAATGCCACATAATTCTTTTTCGGAGAAGCAGGATTCGATATCTGTCCGCCAACGTCCGTAGCTGGGACAATAAACTATGCTAACTGATTTTGCTGCCCATTAAGGAAAAATAGTAATTGACCCTTTTTTAGTACAACATTAACATGTAGAATATATACCCAGTCTATTATGCGTATTATTCTACGATAAAAATAAAAAAGAATACACAATACAAGAAACGAACTTGAAGAAAGTTCATATATTTGAAAATGTTCATACAAATTGAGAAAATTCCATCATTTGAAAAAAGTTCATGGATTTTCAAAAGATTTTGCGAATTCGAAAAAAGATCATCGATTTTCAAAAAATAGTCCACGGATTTGACAATTTCATTGATTTTAAAAAATAATAAGTTCACTAATATGAAAAAAAAGTACACAATTTTTAAGAAAAAGTTTGCACGAATTTTTAAAAGCTAATTGAATTCGAAAAGTTCACGTAAGTTTGAGGAAAAACTTCACATATCTGAAAAAAAGTCTATTTTTAAAAAAGAGTTCATCAATTGAGAAAAAGAGCTCATCGATTATGGAAAAAAATTCATCGAATATAAAAAACATTAATTTCAAAAAAAACGTTCTCAAACTTGAAAAATGTTAATCGAATTTAGGAAAAAGTCCATCGAATTTTCGAAAATGTTCATCGATATTGAAAAAAGATCCTGCATTTTGAAATACAGAAAAAAGTGAAGAAAAGGAAAAGAATAAACAAAAGAAAAGAAAAAAAAAACAAAACCAGCCCAAGAAAAAACCGTATCGAAAAAAGAAAGGAAAAAAGATGGACGAGAGGCTTCCCACAAACTGAAGAAAGACTAAAAGAAAAAACAGAAGAAAGCAATCATAAGCATTTAGAGGTTGTAGTGGTTATTCGGTTGTTTGTGAAAGAAGAGATCTCGAGTTTGATTTCGTCGCCTACTTCATTTTTTAATTTTAAAAATACAAGAAAAAAGGTACATGGCTGGCCCATGCATCATTGATGGAGGTGGGTGGGGGTGGGGGGGCGCCCGTTTTGCACGGATGGCTTTAACCGGCGCAACATGCACCGAATAGGATTTGTTCATGACTGTCTTCACTAAAATGATGGAACCGCCCGCTTTCAAATGAAAAAGGTAGAAAAACCAAGAAGGCCCACATTACCAAAGGCCCAATTGGAGTGTGCGGGTAAAAGGTCTCGCATTAAGGAGCATCGGCCCAGTTGCTAGTTTTGGGCCGACCCAACTTGCTAGTTAGTTTATTTTTTCTTTTATATTTCTTCGTTCATTCTTTTTTTTTACTTCTATTCATATTATAAAAACCTCTAAATACATATACATGAAAACAAATTGACTTCAAAATCAATGTAAACCATAAATTTGAAACATGTTAACGCGGTGTAAAACCATCTTAGCATCATTTAAAAAAGATAGCTTCCAAAGAAAAAGTTTTTGACATTTAGAAAATGTTAACACATTTGAAATAATGTATGTACCACTCTAGAAAAAATTATACATTGAAAAAAGTTTTCATGTAATTCAATAAAATGTTTCATACCATTCGAAAGATGTATGTTACTTTTAATAGAATGTTCACGCGTTTCAAAAATGTGTTGGTGATATTTAAAAAGAATATGTTTACAATGTAAAAACATGTTTCTTAGCATTTTCAAAATGTTTCAACGTGTGTTTGAGGGATTGTTTAACACATATTTGAAAAAATGTTCAAAGCAAGTGTTTGTAAAATGTTAATCATGTAGTTGAAAAATGTTAAACGTATATACTCCTTTTAATATGTGTACTAAAAATATACAATGTGTATGAAAAAGGTAAACATCAAAACATATATTTGAAAAATATTTGTCATGTATTTGGAAAATGTTTAACCTATATAAAAATTGTCCCGTTATGCAAAAAAAATGTATAACATATATATAAAAATTAGACATGTATTGAAAAAAGAAAAGGAACTGAAGAAAGACACAAAGGAAAATGAAGAAAAAAATGAAAAGGAAAAAAAAGAAAACACTGAAGAAAACCAATGTAAATGAGTGAAAAAACCGATGAAGAGACCATAGAAAAGAGAAACATGTGCGCAGCTATGTTATTAGGCCGGCCCAATAACCCCGTGTCGTTGTCGAGACGTATTAGTAATCAGTACAGCCTTGCCTACGTAAAAGAAATCAACACTTTTATTAGAAACAAAAAAAATCAATACGCGTGATACATAGCTCTCATGAGATTGGAACTGATTAAGACATATTATAAAAAAAACTAAAACTCGACCGGGGGGAGACAAATCCCGAAGGCATAATATTGTAAGGTTGAGAAAAGGTCCCAAACGTCTCTTGCACAACACAAGTATAGAGAATGAGCCTTATTTTTGTAAGAACCAGGATTTGAACCCTGGTTGGTAGCCCCACTCGAGAAGGTCTTTACCATTAGAACTGATTAAGACATATTATCTAGTGGGCTTTGATTTGAAGTCATAGTATAAACGAGAAGGTGTTTGGAGCCCTCCAAAACTAAGAATGAGAGAAAGGGTATGGTCTTGAGACGCTGCTAATTTGCACCCAGGCTCAAATGTGTGTGGACATGAACAGTAAAATCTCAAAAAATAGAAAGAAAAAATCTCAAAAATGATTTCTTTTCCGTGTAAGAATTAAGATGCTTATGTGTATGATGTCTGTATTTTTTTGGTGAAGTTTGGACATTTGTGAAGCTCATGGAAAAATGATAAATTTCGGATTTTGAGAAACATTTCAAAAAAAAAAAACTTCTTGAATGTTATAATACATGTGCAATGTACTCCCTCCGTCCGAAAATACTTGTCATCAAAATGAATAAAAGGGGATGTATCTAGATGTATTTTAGTTCTAGATACATCCCTTTTTGTCCATTTTGATGACAAGTATTTTCGGACGGAGGGAGTATTCTGTTTGGATTGGTATTTTTATTTGTGCAACAAGTCCTATGGTACTATCTCATTTGTGCCAAATTTTGACCATAAATTTAACTAACAAAATGTTCATGCATGTTATAAAAAATTATATCACTGAAAACTATGTTCAATTATGAATCCAAAGATTTAATTTTTGTTGAGATTCACTAAGATTTCATAAGTTATATCTTTGATCAAAATTAAGCACAAATTATAAAAAGGGATGATAAACAAGGATGGACGTAGTAGTAGTAGTAGAGAAAATAAATACTTCCTCATTTCCTAAATATTTGTCATTTTAGAGATTATAAATGGACTACCACATACAGATATATATAGACATATTTTAGAGTGTAGATTTACTCATTTTATTTTGTATGTAGTCATTTGTTAAAATATTTAAAAAGACAAATATTTAAAAACGAAGGGACTATATTTCATGGTCCACTTCAAGCCTTCAAGACAGACATTGGGAGCAGGTTTCCCCCTCCTATGCCGGTCAACCCTTTGATTGCTCAGCGCAGGCAGAGCCACTCGATCTCAATCACACACGAGTACTACGAATGATCGCAAGTAATCAAGAGGAACTTTGCTATCTCACAGGCTCGCTTCTAGGAGTAGTTTCTTATTCTTCCGCTGTCCTCTCGATTTATTTTTTAAGTTTCTGCCGCTTGAGACTGAAATCGAATTTAAGAAAATCGCCGGTGCTGGGAGCAGGATGATAAAATAAGAAAGCCGCGGGGCACTTCCGTGGTTCGTCTCCTCTCCTCCACCAAACCTTATCTCGCTGCCTGCACCGACGACTTGGAGCGCCCGAGCTCCGTGATCCAAGCACCCCGAAGCGCAGCCCCTCGATGGCCGCCGACGAGGCCCCAACCACGGAGGCGGCGTGCCAGGACCTGGTCGAGATCCTTGACGAGGGATCGGGCCGCCTGGACATGGGCCGGTACGTGGACCACGTCCGCGACCTCTCGGCGGGCGCCATCGCCACCTTCGAGGGCACCACGCGGGACCACTTCGACGGGAGGCGCGTGGTGGAGCTCCGCTACGAGGCGTACGGGGCCATGGCGCGGCGCCGGCTCGAGGCCATCCTCCGCGAGGCCCGCGCCGCGCACGCGCTGTGCCGGCTGGCCGTGGCGCACCGCCTCGGGACGGTCCCCGCCGGCGAGGCCAGCGTGTTCGTGGCCGCCTCGGCCGTGCACCGCGCGGACGCCATGGAGGCGTGCCGCTACGTGATCGACGAGATCAAGGCCTCCGTGCCCATCTGGAAGAAGGAGGTGTACGACGACGGCGAGGTGTGGAAGGAGAACCGCGAGTTCCTCGACCGCACCGACGCCGAGAAGCAGGGCAAGCCGGCCGCCGGCGGCGGCTGCTGCTGCGGCAGCAAGGTGAGGGTGAGCTGATGAGTGGCAGCCGCCGGATCGCGATCACGTGAACATGGCTTTCTTTTTCCCCTTGTGTTACGAGAGATTTTAGAGGAAGAGAAAGGTGAAGTTCGAATACAATAATATCTTCACATTGTGTTACACTGCTGAATGCAAATCCTGTCAGAGAAACAATGTGTGAAGTTCGAATACATACTCACGTTGCAGCGAATTATGTGGTGTGGCAGCATGAAATTTACTACTCCTCATATACTCATTTTTTTTGTGTAGAGAAACTCACGCCATGCATCAGAACCGATATGCTGCTGCCTAAAAATCTTCTTGTGAATCAACATAAGATCAGAATTATGTGTCTCTTCCCGCAAAAAACGAATTATGTTGTCTCGGCTGAAGAACAGAAATCAGACAGCGGCTCATTTGATAGCACCCAGCCAAGATGTTAAATTTCAAACCAGAGCTAACAAACCAAGTGAATTACCTGAAGTATCAAGACGGTAACATCTCTTATATACACTCAAACATGGGCTTTACGACCTAGTAACACTTGTTACATTGTACATCGCTTTTTTTACAAAAGTAAACAGGATCATCAAACCAACATAAAGACTGATTCATGTCCAAAAAACAAACATAAAGACTGATGCCTCGTCACACTGACTGCAAATTAGGCGCCCGTCAGTCCCTCTCAGGTTGTGATCAAAGGAGACATTGGCAGACTCCTTGGCCAATTGATAGCAATCTTCGACTGCTACCATTGGACACCAAGAATGTCCCCGTCTCATCATTCGGATCACCTAAGCAATCTGAGCCGTCGACCAGCCTACTTGCGCCCCGTAGATAGGATTAGAGCAGATCAGGGGGATGTTGCCTCCTCTGAAGAACAGAAACCAGTGGGAATGTTCTACAGAGTAGCATTGCCTTAAGAGTTAAGATGAAAAAAAGAGAAGAGGATCTGCTGCTCCCCACATAAAACAGAGGTAGCTGCTAATTTAACAGTAGTGTCACCAAAAAAACCGAGACGTTCACTTTGTTTTTACACTCGAACATGGGCTTTACGAGCTACTAGTAGAGGCGAAAACAGGATTTCTCAAAGCCTAGGGCTAAACCTAACTGACTATCTAAAAAAAAACTAACTGACTAAATATAAATCAAATACTCCCACGCACACCAATTTGTGTTAGAAGTATGCCACAAAATCACATTTAAAATGAAGTACAAATTCATTATTATTATGAGAGGAAATTCCTTAAAATAAATAGTTTAACAAATTGCATTGTTACGAACATGGTTTGGTACCTAATTAGTGAAGACTTGCTTAACCCGAGGCCATCATTTCTTCACCAGCAATAGTAGAACGACTTGGATCTGCAAACATAAAATTGCATATCTAAAATCAAGACACTTGACATAGACTAAGTCAATTGTTCGGATGAAATTTACAAAAAGAAAAAAGAAAAAAAGAGAGAACATACTATACCATGAACACGACGACCACGAAGTAGTAGCCCCTTGCGTTTCCTCACTTTTTGATAGCACTGTATAATCTTAATATCATCAACGCTTGCAAATACATCGCGCTCAATATAGCACAATAATGTAAGTTTAGCTAATATAAAGGAAATAGGAAAAGCAAAAAAAAAATCGAGAAAATGCAAAAGCTTTGCGTTTTTTTTGCATTGAAAAGTGAGGAGTTCAGTTACAAACGTCCGAGGACGCGTGAATTACAGTGTGATTAGTGTACATCCCATGTTTGTGGCAGTACCAGCCGGAGGCCGGGTGCCCCAGCAGCCGCCCAAGAGGATGCCTCGTCCTTGATCCTGTCGAGAAGCGTGTTCATGGATGGTGTTGCGTTGTCGAAGACACAGCTGTTCCTGTGTTTGCAAACCATCCAGGGCACGAGCAGTGCAGCGGATTTCAGGGCTTTATGAGGTCCCGGTGGCGTGTTTTCCCTGGCATGCTTCCACCAGTCCATGAGGGAGGGATCGCGGTTGGGGATCGGGGCTGGAATGTGCAGCCAGGCTAGTACCTCGTGCCATGCCTAGCGGGCAAAGGGGCATTCTTGTAGCAAGTGCATGAGCGTCTCCAGTTCTTGATCGCATAGGAGGCAGCGGGGGTGATGTTGCAGTCCATGTCGAGCCAGCCTCTCGGCCGTCCAGCACCGGTCTTGGTTGGCCAGCCAATGAAAGAATTTCACTCTCGGTGGCGCCCAAGTCTTCCAGATGAGCTTCTAGGAGTAGCAAGTGGTCGATCCATGGAAGGTGGCCTCGTAGCAGGATTGTGTGGAGTAGGTGCCGCTCGCTTTCCATTTCCAAATCAGCTGGTCCGGGGCGGCGGAGAGCACCGTGCGTTGCGTGACCTGCCATAGTTGTAGATACTGCCAATCTCGTGCAAGCCCAGGTTGCCGTGAATGTCGTGTGCCCAGGAGTTGCCAATCAGCCCGTCCGCCACGGTTCTTGCCATGCGTTGTCGCTTGGGTATGCAATCGTAGAGATTAGGTAAGAGTTGTGGATGGATTGGCCATTGATCCAGCGGTCCTCCCAGAGCAGGGTGGTCCGCCCAATCCCGATGGCCATGGTCGTGGATGCCCAAAAAAACGCGCGCTCCATGGGTGAGAACTGGAGGTCGAGCCCTTGCCATGCTCGCTCGGGGTCCGTTTTGGCGAACCACAACCATCGCAGCCGCAAAGCGAGGCCGGCGCGTTCAAGGTCACGCACGCCTAGCCACCCAGGCTCGATGGGGCGGCAAACGCGGCTCTAGTTGACGTGGCAGTGCCCTCCGTTGGCAGCGGCGTGCCCGGCCCAGAGGAATCCGTGTTGGATCTTCTTGAGCTGCTTGATGGTCTTCTTGGGGGGTGCAAATGCGAGCAGTTGATGCACCGGGATAGCACACAGGACCCATTTAACCAGTGTCAGGCGCCTAGTTTTGGTCATCAGCCAAGCCTTCCAGGAGGGAAGGCGCGCGGCGACCGCGTCGACCATGGGTTGCAGCTGGGCGGCAGTTGGACGGCGCGTGGACTGGGGGATGCCGAGGTAGGTGAGAGGGAGTGTCACCACTGGGCAGCCAAGGTGCGCGATCGTCTCCGTGGTCGTCTGGTCACCAGGAAAGATAGTGGCGGAGCTCTTGGTAAAGTTCACCCGAAGACCGGAGGCCCTGCTGAACAGGGAGAGGATCTCCCTAACCGCGACAACGTCGTCAGCCGTGGCATGGCAGAAGATCATGACATCGTCGGCGTATAGGGAGATCGTCGGGATGTTTCGACGCGGGTGCAGCGGATGCAGGATGGCCAAGCTGTGGGCGCGTCCCAGGAGCCGTCTAAGAGTGTCGACGGCGAGCATGAATAGCTGTGGGGACATAGAGTCACCCTGCCGAAGCCCTTGTCGATGCCAGATGGGTGGTCCGGGCTTCGCGTTCATGAGAATGCGCGTGCTGGAAGATGACAGGAGGATGGTTGTCCATTCCATCAAGCGGTTCCTGAATCCGTATTAGCGCAAAACCTCGAAGAGGAATGGCCAAGATATGGAGTCGAAGGTGCATGCGACGTCGAGTTTGCACATAACTCGCGGAGCTCCCAGTCGATGCAACATCTTGAGCGACTGCTTGACGAGGACAAAGTTGTCGTGCAGGCTTCGTCCCGGGATGAATGCATTCTGGTTGCGGCTGACAAGGTGGTCTAGCTTGGCGCTGAGGCGGATCGAGAGCACTTCGGCAAATAGCTTGGCTACTATGTGGATGAGGCTGATCGGCCGATAGTCGCGCAGTTCATGGGCGGCGGCGTGCTTGGGGAGCAGCGTCAGTAGCGCCTGGTTCAGCTTGTTGAACCCTCTTCCTCGCAGGTCGTAGAGCTGTTGGAACACGTCGAGGAAGTCCTGCTTGATGATGCTCCATCACGCGCGGGGGAACTCCGCCATAAATCCATCCAGGCCTGGCGCTTTGTGCGCGGGAAGGCGCTTGACAGCCTCCCATATCTCCTCCATGCTGAATGGCTCGTCGAGGTCGGCGAGGTCTGTCGGCTCGATGAGCTGCAACATGTCCAGGGAATGCTTGCGATTGGCAGCGGTGCCGAGCAGGGCGTCGAAGTGGAGGGAGGCCGCCTGCGCCATGTCAGCTTGCTCTGTGAGGACTCTGCCATCCGCAGCGAGGCTAAAGAAGTGGTTCTTCTGCCGTCTAAATGAGCACTGCTGGTGGAAGAAGCCTGTGTTGGCGTCGCCGTCTTTATGGTTGGCTATGCGAGAGCGTTGACGAGCGATTGTGAGTTCCATGGACGCAAGTCCCAGGTAGGAGATCTTGAGTTGCTTGCATAGCCAGCCCTTCGGGGGCGAGAGAATGTGTGATTCCTGGGCCTTGTCGAAGCGCGAGATGAGCTCGCGGGTGATGGCTAGCTTAGCCTTGATGTTGCCCATTGATTTGGAGCATCAGCTCGTGAGGCAAGTCACTGTTGCCTGGAGCCGTAGCATGAGGCGACGAAAAGGGTCGGCGTGGTACGTGGAGCCCCAGGCCGTGGTCACCAACTCCTGGAACCCATCCAAGCGCAGCCATAATTCCTCAAAATGGAATCGCCTTTGAGAGGTGGGCACTAACGAACAATCAAGCAGCAACGGGGAGTGATCGGACACGACAGACGTGAGGCATTGGAGGTGGCATCTGTCGTGTGTGTCTTCCAAGTCGGAGGTGCAGAGCATGCGGTCAAGGTGCACAAGGGTCGGCGGGGTCTGCTCGTTCTACCAAGTGTAGCGACGCCCATTGAGGTAGATCTCCTTGAGCGTGAGGTCATTGGTCAGGCGGCGGAATTTTCCCATCATTCGTCTATTGACGTTGCCCATGTTCTTGTCCTCGTCGCGGAGAATGAGGTTGAAATCGCCGCAAACAAGCCATGGCTCCAGACAAACCATCCTTATCTCGCGGAGCTCCTGCAGGAAGGCGAACTTGTCGGCATCATCCTGCGGGCCATATACCACCGTAAGCCACCACGACGTTCCCGTGGTCGTGGACACCTTCGCGGTGATCGCGTTAGTGGTGAA